AGATAGATAGATAGATAGATAGATAGATAGATAGATAGATAGATAGAGTATGATCCAAAGATAAAAGATAGATTAGACAGACAGACAGATAATCGGATGGATGGATGATCCAAAGATGACAGACAGACAGACAGACAGATAGATAGATAAGGATGGATGGATGGACCAAAGATAGAAGAGAAAAGAGAGAGATGTGGATGATCTAGAGATGGATGGATGAAGGGAGGGCAGGAGAGCGAGTATGTCTCCTTTCTTTTTCTTCTTGGCCTCTGTTCATCTGCCCCTCTTCCTCCTCCTCCAGGTCCAGGCAGCAGCCTTGGATGAGATGTTTCAGCAGACCGAAGACATTGCTTACCGGTACCACAAAGCCGCGTTGCTCTTGGAGGGCCTGGCGAAGATCTTGCAGGACCCTGCTGACATAGAGAACATAAACCGTTGTACGTGTGGAGCTGGGGGGACGGGAAGGACTTTTATAGATTGTGCACTTCGAACAAAGCACAGCGCAGCCATAAAGTAAAAAACCACAATCCTATATTATCCTTCATTAATACGTATACCTGGATACAAAAATTGGCATTTTGGGGTTTGGAGGCTGCTCATTTGAGCCCACGCGTTTCTGTTTCTAAATCACGCGGTGACCCTCAACCAGTCCGACTTAACGACTGCAATTTCAACTTCAGTGACGGTCATAAGTTCAGGATCACCCGCAAAACGGAACGCGGTTTTTGATACTCTCGTGCCTGGACTCCCAGGTCACCGTTGTGTCACAAACACTATTTTGTTCCATCTTTTCCTCCCTAAAAACTGATTTTAGGAAGCGCATTGACAACAAGCTAGAATTAACAGCCTTTTATAAAATTAGGGATTGAAATTTTTCTATAGATCAGTGGTGGCTAACCTCTTTGGGCTCCTGTGCCAAAAATTGTGCGCACGCCAGCGCGCACTCGTGTGCCAGCACCCAGAATGCAATGCGCGTGCCCTGCCACATGCGCACACAATACCCCATCACAGCTGATTTTTCAGCTGGTTTGAGACCTTTTTTGACCTCCCGGAGGCTTGGAAAAAGCCTCTGCAAGGCTTTTCAGGATGAATTATAGGCCCGTTTTGCCACTTCCGGTATTACAGGAAGTGACAAAACGGGCCTATAATTTGGCCGGAAAAGCCTTGCAGAGGCTTTTTCCAAGCCTCC